CGATCCGGATCCTTCTTGTTCCTCCTTTCCGCAGGCCCTGAGCCCGGAGGAGATCGCGGGGTGGTTTGGCCCGGGAAAGGGGGATGCGGACGACGTCGTGCTCACCACCGCCCAGCTCGCCAGCCCCGCGGCCTTTCGCGAGTGGTTGGAGGACGTCGTCGAGCAGTCCGCGATGAATAAAGAAGCCACTCGGCTTTTGGAGGAAGCCGGGATCGGCTACCTCCACCGCGATCCGGGGCTGCCGCTGGCGAATTTCCTCTCGTTCGCTAAGATCTTCGCGCAGGCGACGGCCGTCCGCGCGGTTCTCGAGCGCGGACGGCCAAAAGACTGCCGCGTGGCGCGGTCGGAGGACATTGGGCTGAGCATCGTGGTGGGTTCGCAGTGCGATGTGCGGGATGGCGGGCAGCTGCTTATCCCGTGGTATCTCGATCCTAACCTCCTGCTTGCGCTGCTCGGGGAAGTGGCGAGTTCACCGGCCTTAGAAAGCTCCAATGTGGATCCATGATCAATTTACTGACGCTTTAGCCGGATTCTTTCTTCTCCGTATAAGTGGTCAATGGTGGTGTGTATGTTGTACATGGTGGTGTTTTTATCGCATATGGATGATTCGACAGGGCAACCAAATTTCCTTATTCCACTTTCCTTCTCCTATCACCAAAATGGGAAAAGAAGCAAAGCAAGCCTTCCAGTTTGCCTCACTACTTAAATTCATCATTATTGTTATTACTGTCCTATCCATCGCTTAAAGAGTTCTGTACCAATGATGTTCTTTTTACTTGTTTGTAACTACAGTCATTTGAATACTTTCTTAACCCTATGTTGTTTTTCCACTATTGATCTTTTATTACTTTGTTCGTTTTGGCTTTTTGTCACAGATTACAGATTAGCCGATTACTAGTCGATAGTTTATATTCTTATACACAAAAAAAAAACATAACAAAACACACACACACTGACTAACTTTTAAATGCCGCCTAAACGTCAGGTATTGAAAATCATCATTTTGGGAGATAGCGGTGTTGGGAAGACCTCGCTGATGCAGCAGTATGTCAATCACAAGTTTGACAACCGCTACAAAGCAACGATCGGGGCGGACTTCCTTAGCAAGGATATCGAAATCAACGGCCAGGTCGTAACGCTGCAGATCTGGGATACGGCCGGGCAGGAACGCTTCCAGTCACTTGGCTCGGCGTTCTACCGGGGGGCGGATGCCTGTATTTTGGTGTTTGACGTCACCCAGTCCGAAAGCTTTGCGCACCTGGGCTCTTGGCTTGAGGAATTCAGCATCCAGGCGGGGTGCCGTGATAGCGTGCTGATTGGCAACAAAACTGACCTGAATGAGCGCCGACGGGTATCAACCAAGACGGCGCAGATGTGGTGTGCGAAGCAAAATATGAACAACAGCACCGGCTCGAATATCGACTCGTGCGAGATGAAGTATTTCGAGGCATCTGCCAAAGAAAATATATCTGTGGATGATGCTTTTTTGGCCGTTTCAACTGCCGCGTTGGCAAGGAAAGTGGCCACCGAAGAGGAGATGGTGGAACGACCGGAAACTATTGTTTTGTCTTCCAACAGAATAGAAGAAGAACCCCGCTCGCTATGTAATTGCTGAAAATATAGAAAAAAAATGCCACCTATATTTTATTTACTTATTCATACCTAGTTGTTTAACACATAATCGATGGTGAAAGAAGAAAATCAAAGTATAAACGGAAAATGTGGTATGCTAATATCGAAAAGAGTTTCTATAAAATCTCTTCAATCGTTTATTTTTTTTATGTGTGTGTGTGTGTGTGTGTGTGTAGAGGGATGAGACAAGTAACAGAGATTTTCAAAGGTTCGCTTCACCTTTCTCAAAAGCATCATGCATTGTGAAGAAACAAATATAGACGCTCCAAAGAACCCGCCACTTTTTTTCACCCTTTCCTTTCTTGTAGTATATTTTTCCGAAACTTCACACACAAATGGAGAAGTGTGCTGGGGCGGAGGGGGGGGTGAGGTCTGAAAACTACAGCTCACTATCGACGGCGTCAGGCAACGCTCCCATAGTGTAGTGGTTATCACCTCGGACTCTGAATCCGATAACCCTGGTTCGAGTCCAGGTGGGAGTGAATTTCTACATCAGTCTGTTTATTGATTTAGACTCCCTTAACCGACCACCACCGTTGCTCTCATAGCTCAGTCGGTTAGAGCGTGGGTCTAATAAGCCCAAGGTCACAGGTTCGACCCCTGTTGGGAGCACTTTTGTGTCACACCCGTTCAACACTTCACACTGGAAAAAATTTCGTCTTGGGCGTGCCGGGGTTCCCGAGTTGGTCAAAGGGGTGAGACTTAAGTTCTCATGCGTCAGCTTCGTGGGTTCGAACCCCACCTCCGGCAGAATTTTTCAGACCTAATTTGAAACACTTCTCGGACATTTTGTTACGCTATTTCCGAATAGAGTTGAAAAAAGAGGGCAAATTTTGGACAAAAAAAAGAGAATGCGTATCCCTTTTCCACTAACTCACATATGTAATGTCATTTGAATCAGTATTTTTATGCGTTACTTTTGACATTCCATGAAGCGAATGGTTTAATATTTCTATACATTACCCTTCAAGTATGCCCATTTCTAGATTTATTAACAACCTTCATTGGGAAAAAAAGAAAAGGAACTACTGCATCATAGGTTCCTGTCTTTGGAGATCAAGTCGTGATACCTCCCTTCCACATCAACGTTAGATAGCGAAATTGCCTGGCTAAAGTTCTCAGCCTAGCTACTTCAAAAAGAATAGTTAGAAAAAATTCGATAAACTACTTACCCCTCTGATAAACAAATACATCTCTCTATTTTTTTTGGGGGGGGGAGAGGGGGGAAAGGCCGTGTTTGGCCTCACTAGATTACTGAATCATAAAGAAGCCTTCAAAAATAGATCACTTCCAGAGGGTATCATTGCAGGGGATTTGAACCCTGCAGTATCCTTCACAATGTACTTGAGAATGCCATACATGTAGAATTGGATGTACACATACCAATTAATGGCATATGGGTCAAATATAAAAAATTTTTTACTGCGCTCATTCAGTCCGTCGTCTAATTTCATGGAGTTCTCACACGAAAACATCCACTCATTAACCATAAAATCATAAAACTCCCAGTTTAACATATCAGCACGACGAACAGCTCTACCTAATCTCTCAACCTGCACTTGTTTCTTGGGAGAGCCGACCGGCTCGGGAAGCTTAACGAGAAACTTCAGGGCCATATACGGCATGTAGCGCATAAGATGGTAACGCAGCATATAGTACTTCTTACAGGTCGTTAAAACCACATTGCACGAGCCCATAGATTTAGGGTGGCGCATTTCAGGTAAGATATAGTTGTTCACAGCATCCCTCACACGGCCCCAGTTTAAACGGTTTTGTGAACCGGACGTAGCCACGTGATAAATCATCAGCGGCTCAGGAAGGAGCGAACAACGATCCCTCTCCAGTTCGGACGACAGGGCCTCGGCAGGGGCCGCAGGCCGCATTGGCGTCACGATGGCCTCTGTGATTCCGGTTTTCGGCGCCGCCTTGCCCCACTGCGCGGCGACCGGCAAGAGGGCCCCCCCCGCAGTGGGGGCTCCTCCCGCGGCGGGGCGATTGCCACCCAGCCCCACCGGCTTCCCTTCCTCGATGTCCACCTGCTGCAGCGCGCGGCGCGCCAGGCGGCGCTGCTGTGTCTGGAAAAGCGCCTTGATCAGGATGTTCACCACGAAGTCGACGGGGACGATGTCGCAGGCCTTTTTCTCGTCACACACCAGCTCCTTCACCACCCCCAACCCAACGGTCAGAATGAGTCCCCCGGCGGCCGTGAGGACATCCACCCAGCCCGGCATGGGCTCGCTGTAGCTGCAGCCCACAATCGAGGGCCGCACGATGGCAAGCGGGATGTCACCGCGATATCTCGCCAGGAGCTTCTCGCCCATATTCTTGGTAAAGGTGTACGTGTTGGGGAAGCCCAAACGCTTTAAGTATTGGCTGGTCTGCGTCTTCAGCTCGGCAGGGTGGATATCCAAGATGGCCTTGACCATCTCCTCCGCGTCGAACGAGAGCGGGTAGATCTCCTCCGCGCTCATGTTATCGATGCCTTGACGCTGATAGTTCACATAACAGGTCGATACGTGCACCATCGACTCGAGGTTCTTGCAAGTTTTAGCCAATGCCAACATCCGCAACGGGCCCAGCGTGTTCATCTGCACCGACAGATCAAGTCGCTCATTAAAGTTGACAGTGGCGGCGATGTGGAATATGAGGTTCACCTCATTCGCAATGGTCGTTCGATCTTGATCCGACAACCCAAGGTGGTCCTCGGTGATATCACCGCCCATAGGCTTGATCTTGTCGCACAGCTCCTTCCACTTGGCGTCCCCAACCGCATTGCGAATGGGTTCAAAACACGGTGACGTCAACAACTCCAGCTCTAGACGCTCTTGCATTTTAAGGTAGCGATTATATTGTCGAGACTTTTTCCCGCGCATAAGTAAGTAGATGGTGCGCACATCACCAAACTCCTTGAGGATTTTATATAATAAGACTTTGCCAACAAAACCGGTCCCGCCTGTTATAAAAATAACACGCCCTGAAAAACCTTCCCGAATATCCATAAGAATAATATTTACACACAAAAAAAAAATAACTTAATAAAAATACCTATACGATAAGAAAATAAAATCTGCCGGAGAAAAGTAAACAAACGGGAATAACTGTTTAAATAGAAACAAATGTATTAACAATACGTTCTATAAGGTAAAGAGAAGGATGACAAAAAAAAAGGTTGTGCCTCACACCTCACTTCAACGCTGTCAAAGAAACAAACACACAAAAGACAGGTGTAGTTATTTTTTGCTTTTTGCTTAATCCCTCTCTACACACATGAACAAACTTGATCAGTATTGTTGAGTTCTAACCACGCAAAGAGGTCAAAATGTACGATCAATACCGTGTGTTGAATTTAAAATGAACGTTTTTTTACCCTTCCAACGAACCTATCGTTTTCACTCTGCCGTCGTGATCATTCGCGCAAGCATGGAGGCTAGCTGCAGGGGGGTTCCCACGCCTTCGGCAATGCGCATTGTCGTCTCGCCTATGATTTTCAGCACCTCCAACTGCTGAACCTCATTGCTGAACATCTGCACCTTCATCTGTGCGACTCGAAAGAAGGTCGAAATGACATCCGCCGGGGCATACCCGCGGCGAAGCAGCCGAGTTGCCTCTCGGTGCGCCTCCGCCAGATCTTTCTTGGTGAGGCATGCCGTCAAAATATTCTCCACAAGCACCGGGTGGGGTTGGTCGCACACCTTAAAGACGTTCTCGGCATTGACCATCGCATAGCCGGTGTGCGTTGCCTGCAGCGCGTTCATGGCCTGTCGAAGATCACCCTCGGCAAGGTACAGCAACGCCTCCAGCCCGTCGTCGGTGTATTGAACCTTCTCCGCCTGGATGACGTGCATCAGGCGTTTCAAAATGTCGAGGTTTGCAAGCTTTTCAAAGCGCACAATGGCGCATCGGGACTGGATGGGTTCGATAATTTTGCTGCTTTGATTGCAGGCAAAGGCGAAGCGGGTGGTCGCGCTGTAGAGCTCCATCGTCCGCCGCAGCGCCTGCTGCGCCGCAGGGGTCATGCTGTCCGCCTCATCAAGCAAGACGATCTTATGCAGTGCGATGCCGCCCGCGGGATCGCCATTTTGGCCCCCCCCAGGAAGCGTTTTCTTGGTCTGCGCGAAGAGTTTAATGCGCTCGCGCACCACGTCAAGCCCGCGCTCATCACTGGCGTTGAGCTCTAAGACTGCATCCTTCAAAATATCCCGGTCCCCCAGCGAGGAGGACGCGCCGCGTAAGAGAAGGTCGCGCGCGAGGCAGAGCATGCTCGTGGTCTTTCCAGTCCCGGGGGGACCGCAGAGCAAGAGGTTGGGGAGGTTGCCCTCCCTCGCGATGACTTGAAGACGAGAAACAGCCTCAGAGTTGCCCACGATATCGGCCATCGTCTGAGGGCGGTACATTTCGACCCACGGCGAAAGGGATGATGACATTAGATTGAACCCCACCCTTCTCTTTTCTACACTCTGTTTTTCTATGTGATTTAATGATTAGGGGAGAGGGGGGGTTATCCTATCAGTGCGCGTTAATGGCGTCGAATGCTTCTTTTTCTTTATCAGTTTAATGTAAAGAGGAGGTTAATATATTAAAGAAAGGTCAACTTGTATAAAATTGGCATCATCAAGTGAAATATTGCAGCTTAATCGTTGACCAAAATTGGCATGATCTTATATTAGCATGATGTGTTCATGAAAACAAATAGAACAGTGTAAAATAAAAAACTGTTGGGTATATATATATATAGAGAGAGAGAGAAAGAGAGAGAGAGAGAGAGAGAAATGAAAAAAAGGCTCATCTTCCATACAAGTATGTTCTGAGTGACAAGCAATACACCTCTAAGAGCGACCCGATGCTTTCATATCTTAGTGCATAAACCCCTCTCTACTATACACGTTAAGGATTGGATGCTTCGACCTTTTCAATGGTAAGAATAGTAATATAAGATGCAGTATCTGAACGTTGTCTGACTTTACCTCTGGTGATGCGGGCGCTTCTTGGCATTTCTGTCTACCGCTGATCTGACTCTTTGATGCATTCCACAGGCTTCCCAACACAGCTTCGTAAAGGTTCAAAATGCTGTTAGTATGCTGCACCTATTCCTCATATATCAAATGCATTGGGCGCGAAAAGTGCATTACACTACCCTTCTAAATATAAAAGAGTATAAAAAAGGAGTGTCTACACAGAACAAAGGATGTGATTGGCAAAGAGAAGGAAAGAGATATCTATGAAATCTGCATCCCTTCGATTGAAGTGAACGCTCATTTCTTTGCCGATTGCATAGTTAGGGAGTCAAATATGGGGTTGACTTACAATGACACTACAACAAGTATTCGCTTACTAAAATAACTATTTAATTCACTCGGATGTAATGGTGTAGTGGCGACGAAATCAAAGGTAACTTCTAATATCCAAAGGAATGCTTACAGCAACGATGAGATCACAAAAAAGCGCAACCTATATGGTATATTAAGAGCACTTTGTGAAACTACGCATATAAAACATAATTAAGAGAGAGTGAGACGTTCGTATGTCATACTTCAAGATTTGGTAATATCCATATACTGTAAACCTTAAACAAACGTCTCAATGCGATTATTCATCTTCAGTGTCCTTCATTTTTCATTCAAGTGAAATTTGTTTTATATACTAATTTTTTGACAAGTACTGAGGAGATTTCATTCTATACCTGTGCTTGCACAATAATGTGCTTTTTATAAATGTTGTGCTCTTTATGGAGCAGTCTATTAATAGCCCATGCTTTAGAAAATGTAGACGCGAAATACCGCTGATGATAAATAAAAAGGTAGCATATAAACAAAAAAAAATGTAAGAATACTAACGAGATTTAGGTACAGGAATGACAACACCAAGTAAAAAAAACTACAGCATAATAATTAATAGTTAAATATGTTAAACAAAAACTTCCCTTCATATGTGAAGTACC